ACAGAGGAGGAAAGTCATTTTTGCAGTGCAGCTTTCTAGACAATCTCAATAAAAATGTCTACTGCTTTTAACATTTCATTCATTTCGATTGCATTTTCTTTTACAGACACACATACAATAAGACACACACTGCAGGGACGAAACAAAACTACATGATTATCAAAACTCTCCTTTTATTCTGCGTTTCAAAAACATTCATCAGAACAAACGTGTAGTGAAGCATTACGCTCAGTTGAGTTTATCAAAGTACTTGAGTTTGCCTGAAGGGTCTGGGATAATCTGTGCGGAAAGAGGAGAAATACAGAGAGATACTGTAACCTGTGATCACACACACACACACACACACACACACACACACTGAAATCTTACCGTATCACTGCCAGGCTTCCATCCAGCTGGACACACTGACATCAGAGAGACAGAGACAGAGTCAACAACACCCAAACCAAACCCTTACATTTATATCATGCACACTCGTATACTTAAGTACGTGTGATATAAGCTATTTATACATTACAATGTTCTGGTGGATAATGCATGATACAATTAGAGACTGACATGTCCAAACACTTCACTTTTTTCTGCACTAGATATTTTCAACTAATAAAAAAAAAGATAGATTTCTTGTTAGCTGAACGTAAGCATTTGCTTCCATTCATTCTCAATCAAATCTCTCCATTTGTTGCCCATTTCACTGTTACATTTCAAATTTTGGACAGGCTACTATATGCAGTAATACGGAAATAAACAAATAATAATTTCTAAGATAAATCACTTAATCTGATTATGCTCCTGAAGCAGTGTCATTTTAGTATTACTTATAGACTGTGGTATTTATTAAAATTTTGAATTTGATATTTTCAGTTTTCATTTTCATGTTAATTTAAATGTTAGTAATTTTACTATGTGCTTTTGTCCTTTTTTTAATATTTATATATAGCTTTAATTTATCATCATTTCAGTTTCATCTTAAATTGACTTCAGTTAGTTGCCAAAGCAACATTTCTAATTTCCCTTTGAAGTTTTTTTTACGTTTTTCATCACATACAAGTAGAATACTTACAAACAATACAAATATTCATTTTATTTCCACTTTTCTCAGCTAGCACAATCTATTTTTAATAGCTCTAGTTAACAGTAACAACTCTGTTCTGAATGTGATACGAAAACCCACTGTCTTTAGTCAACACAATTAATCTCAAACTCTGTATTTGCATCCAAATATTTTAAGCATTAAAATAGATTAAACATATAATTTCATAAATCAGTGTGTTAAAATTGGCGGCCCTAGTAAACACTGCTTTAATGTATTATTCAAATTATAACTTTGACAAAAAAAAATGTCAAAAGTGTGTCATCAGTGATTAATAACTGCTGTACCTTCTCCGTGTTTATCGGTGTACTGGAAGGCCTGCACCAGTCTGAGGGTCTCGTCCACAGAGCGTCCCACCGGCAGGTCATTCATGGTGATCTGTCTGAGGACACCTTTATCATCGATGATGAAGAGACCTCTAAAAGACAGCAGAGGATAAAACCATTACCACATAACTCAGCAGGCAAGTCATTCATGTAATACTGAAACACTAGCTTTAAAATCAAGGTTCTGATTTTTCATTGAATGCCGTTAATCTTGTTTTTGATTACTCGTGATACATACATTTGTAAAATCCATTTACAATATTAAGGTCCAATAGGGTCAAAAACTGAAAAGGCCTAGTTTCAGTACCGGAGCGTGTGCCCCTGATCCTCAAGAAAGACACCGTAGTCTTTGGATATCTGATGAGTGAGGTCAGAAAGAAGAGGGATTTTCATTGGTCCGAGACCTCCTTGTTTCCTGGGTGTGTTGATCCTGATAAAAAGAAACCAGCGGTGAGTCCATTCATAGTCCTCACTTATCTAAGATATCACAACGAATCATCTCAAAGTCCAGAAGAAGCAGTGTGTCCTCACCAGGCCAGGTGAGTAAACTGAGAGTCCACCGAGCAGGCGACCACTTCAGCGTTGATGGCCTGAAACTCATGCACACGATCACTGAAGGCGATGATCTCAGTAGGACACACAAACGTGCTGTGGATCAACACAACCGGTCAAGCGTTCAGAATAATTAACAGTTTCTAATGTTTTTGAAAGAAGTCTCTTCTGCTCACCAAGGCTGCATTTATTTGATCAAAAATACAGTAAAAACAGTAACATTGTGAAATATGAATACAATTTAAAATATCTGTTTTCGAAACATTTCAAATGGGATGGCTTCTCCTAGTTTTCTTAGAGATATTTGTTGCCAGTTTATCAGGAAGTGACGATTTTGTTCTCTTTGACTCGTTTGGATGGAAACGGTGCTTATTCGCAAATGTTTTGTGAGATATTCCAATTTTGCGCACGAGTTTAATTTGCAACTTTGGATGGAAACCCGGCTTGTGATACACTTGTGCATACTTTTATTCAAGGATGCATTGAACTGATTGAAAATGACAGTAAAGACATGTCACAATACTTCTATTTCAAATAAATGCTGTTCTTTTGAACAAAGATGTATCGCAGTTTCCACAAAAACATGAAGCAGCACAACTGTTTTCAAAATTTATCATTAAAACCATTGTTAATAAGACACCCAACAATAACTTGAGCAGTAAAGCAGAATATTATACTGATTTCTGAAGATCATGTGACACTGAAGACTGGAGTAATGATGCTGAAAATACAGCGGCGCATCACAGGAATAAATTACATTTGAACATATATTCACATAGAAAACAGCTATTTGAAAGTGTAATAATATTTCCCAACATTTCTGCATTTATTGTATTCTTGATCAAATAAGTGCAACCTAAGAGACTTCTTTTAAATCGTAATGATTCTAAATGGTTTTGTGCATTCAGTCATTCAATTCTAAGAGTAACTAAAGCTAATGTAGTCAAAGCATGCTCACAAGTCCAGAGGGTAGAAGAAGAAAACCAGGTATTTTCCCTTGTAATCTGACAGTTTCAGCTCCTTAAACTCGCCATTGATCACAGCTGTTCCTTCCCAGTGTGGCGCTGGTTTTGAGACTGAAAAGAAATAAACATAACAACATTTATTATTCGAAAGAATCATATCCCAGCGTCTATTATTAATGCAGATATTTGAGTGCATATGCATGCATGTGACATGTACTGTCTCTTTAAGAGATTCAATAGCATGCTGTCTTGGATCCAAGTTTCAAATCATGACGTGTCCTTAAAAGCAATGCACTTTTATCCCCAACACAGACTAATAACTGTAAAAATGACCTGATTTGCACAAATAAACAGCACGTATTAATATCTCAGACACTAATGTGAATTAATCCTACTGATGATGCATCAGACGAGCTGTCATGCTGACAAAACATTGCTAACAATCCTTCTGGAACAACTTATGCAATAGTCATTATCTCAAAAATAACTTCTATAGAAATAAGCAATTACACAGACGTTCACTTCAAAATCCGTCCACACATTTTTCTAATAAGAGACGATGCTTGCAGGCTAATAGTAACGTTAGTACGTGCTGACAGCTGTTAGAGACATGTGCAATTAATGGATATTTAAAAATATATATTTAAGACCCCATTTGCATTGCAATTAAACGCACTTTTGGCTTTGCTCAGGTGTAAGGAATGGTCAGAGACTGGGACGCGGAAAGCCTCTCCGGGATAAACGTGTCCACCGGCGTAATTATAACACTCTTGCTCCTTCCTCCAGTCTGCACCGTCACACAGAACCGACTCGGTGAGTAAAAGAAGCGTGCACACCGCGCCGAGCCACTCTCTGGGCGTTTTAACGCAGCGACTGGCGTCCATTGCTGAGTCTTGCAGGAAGAAGAACGTCGCTCTCTTCGTTTGATTACTATTCCTCCTTCTCCTGCCGCGCACAGACGTCCTCGATCTGTATGATGCTCGGATCGACTGCAGCTGCGTTCTATTGAGCGGGTCTGACGCCGATGTGTATGATGTAGAGATCTGTGGTGTATTCCAGAAGTTTCCAACGAAACCCGCTTTCTGGAATACATACACCCCTGGGGTTTCCGATGTAGCGCGCCATTACGATTGATTGATTGATTTATTTTTCTCATTCATCAGTCCAGCACCACTGAATTTGTTTTATTTATTTTTTTCGATTTTCACATTTCTTGATACTGTGCGTATAGTGCATAATCTTTCATTTCAAGATTACTTGCCTGGCCAAAATATAACTGGTAAATTTACTATTTAAAAAGAAAAGAAAAGAATTGCAGCAGTTGTCTCGATATTTCGGACATCCGGTCACACAGTGGCGCAGCAGCGCTGTATATGATCGTCACTTCCGCTGCTGTTGGTCGGGGCAGTCAGTCGCGCGCTGGCGGGAGTTCACCGGATTAAAGCTTTTTAAACCTAGTAATTGGCCATAAGGTTATTATATTATGGATTACCACCACTTCTAACATCTACACATACATCATAACAATCCAAGACCGTCTGAGCGCGTGGCTCTTTGTTGCGTTACTCGACGGAGCGCGTGTGAATAGCGCCTTGTGTTCTTCATTGCGTTATGGATATGAATTGCGTTACACGGCTTTTGGAGATATAGAGTGCTTGATCGTTTACATTAGACTGGTTTTGCTGGTTTATCAGGAGATGAGTATAGCAACTCGGTGGCCTCTTCTGTTGTCTTCGATGCACTGCGTATTAACGTTACTTTTGTATAGTTTAGACGTGTATTAATAATGGTATCATTACATTTCTTGAACACAATACTCTGTGAGTGTGTGTGTGAGTGTGTGAGTGTGTGTGTGTGTTAGACATGCTTTTTTTTTGCTGTCAAATTTAATTTGAACATTAAAATGGAATCCAGAAAAATTAAAAAGGGAAAAAAAACTGAATTTGGGAGGGAAATAAAATGGCTTACTATAAGCATAAAAATACAAAGCATGCACAAATAGTGAGGAGTGTGTCTATGATACCTTAAAATATTTCCTATGTAGGCAGCTCACTAGGTTTTGAAATGAAGCCAAAGAGATCAAATGCCTGTATAAAACTCTTCTACATGCTTCTCAGGGATGACCACGGAGGTGACCCTTACCATGGTGGCTATGACCTGGGTTATGGAGGTGGTGGAGGACCCAGCTACGCCCCTCCTCAGCCGTGGGGTCACCCTGACATGCACCTGATGCAGCCTCATCATGGAATCCCCATCCAGGCCAGGTGAGCAGGAAGCTCTACAGTCCACCATTCCCTTGAATTTCACCTGTTAACACCACCTCTCTGCTCTTCCTCCAGGCTGGGAAACATTCATGATATGGATCTCGGTCCTCCCCTTCCTGTGATGAAGACCTTTAAGGAGTTCCTGCTGTCCCTGGACGACTCTGTGGATGAGACGGAGTCGGTCAAACGCTACAATGAGTACAAGATCGATTTTAGGCGTCAGCAGATGCAGGACTTCTTCCTGGCCCATAAAGATGAAGAGTGGTACGATAACAGTTGCTGTTTTTGCGTTAGTGTTCTGTTTTGATAGTGTTTGTGCATTAAGCTAGGAACAGCAACTCCCACATCTAAGCACAGAAGTGGCCAAATTCTGCACCTATCAGCCTCTGAACATGCAACTGTATTCTGTTAATTATTCATTTGGCCTGGAGTTAAGATGAATAATGTGCATTTGGCTGCATAATTTTATCTTGTACCTCCGGGTATGACTTTGAATATCCTTACTACAGTCAGTTTTGAGGGTGAAGTATAGTTGTAGTTCATCCAAAATTGGACATTTTAATAATTTTCTTTTTTACATGAACTATTCCTTTAAAGAGTGCTTTATTTGCTCCTGATAGCATTATTTCTAAATAATGTCAACTGTTTCATGAGTTTGTCTCCACAGTGACTGAATTGGTCTCATCATTGACTTGTTTCCTGTGTTTTTAACATTCGTTTCATTTCAGGTTTTTGCATATTGTTTATTGGTGTACAAATTAACACACATCCTTCTTCCCTCCATCACCACAAGGTATTGGAAGATGAGAAAAGCTCTTGGACCCGTCGCAGGAGTCGCTGTTAGTTAGTCAGGGTTTGCACTGCGCACAATGCAGCTGCCATTAGAATCCAAGTACCAGGGCTTTTAGCTAGACAGTCGAACACTCGCAATCCAAACCTACCGTCGCGTTCACGGAAATATTTTTTTTTTTCTGTAGTGTGTGATGCCTTTCTTCCCCTTTTTCATTTTTGATATTTGGATCAATCAAACCCCCCCCCAAAAACACAGAAATGGTGTGTATGTACACACTCCTCTGAGAAGATCGCTCTCAGTGTAAATGTGTTGTAATGCGGGGAGTACATCAGGTAAATTTAGTGCACACAATGGAAAATGTTTCACCCAACTGTTTTGACTCTCATTTCTTGATAATGCATCAGTTTCTATTGTTGTTTTTTTTGTTTCTACTTCTTTGGTGGTGAGTCTACCTTACTGTATTACACACACTTAAACACAAGTTTTGTTTATGTCATGTGCAGTAAGACTGACAGAAGTGTGCTTAAAAATGTAGCCAACAAATTGGTGTCATAAGCTCTTCAAAACCTAGTGTGCTGCCTTGCGAAATACTGCCTAAACATGCAGCTGCCTTCTAAGACAGCATATAAACTGGAATGAAACATCAGAAGTGAATGATTTGAAATGCTCTACATATGCAGCAGTTTTGTACTCACTTGACTCAGTTTATTTCATTGGAGGTTGACATTAACAATGTTGTTAATCTATTTCTCTCACACACACACATGGATTTGTTGTAATTTCTGTTCACCACTATAGAAGTTTACCAAACTGACGACTTCTGCTTCTAATAACCCTGAATATGTGAAAAGGGTCCATCAGGTATCATCTTGGAAGGATACATGCAATGCTGTCTTAGAATCTAGCTTAAAAAGGCATCTTAGAAGGCAACAAAATTGTTTCTTTCCTTTTGGAACGTCCTTCACATTGGGAGCATGTTTATGCTGCCTGTCTAGGCAGCTCACTAGTTTTAGAATAGAGCCACAAAGTCTTGTGACAGAAAGTGGGTCAATTATGTGGGATAATTAAATTACTGGTTTACTTTAGTTTTATCAAAGCACTTTTATATATGTAAAAGGCAGGATATAACTAGCAGGTCTCTTGGTGACTAGTTTGTAACAAATAGTTGCTAACATGCTGTTTTTTCATCCCCAAACACCCCATTTGTCCCTCTTTCTCCTTTCTGTCTACCTGTCAGGTTTCGTTCAAAGTACCACCCGGATGAGGCTGGGAGGCGTAAAGCAGAAGCCCACAGTGCTCTACAGAACCGGCTGAACGTCTACATGTATCTGATGGACAATAACTGGTTTGAACCTGTCTCTTTGGAGATAGAGCATGCTCCACAAATCACCAAGATTTTAGATGCAGGTAAAGAGAAATGCTTTTCATTTGCTAGTTTTAAATGTCTAAAAAATTTAAATTGTCATTTGCTCAACCTCCTGTCATTCCAAACTGTGTCCATTGGTAATGATGAACTATGGCGGTCAGTTACACGTGCCCTTTTCTCAAAGCATGCGTTTTGTTTGTCTCTGTTAGCCGTAATAAAAATGGAAGGAGGAATGGAAAATGACCTGCACATCCTGGAACAGCCCACTGAGGAAGAGGAGGAGCGAGAGAGACTGGCATCTGGTGTACCTGGTTCTGAAGCTCTTAAACGGGACGAGCCCAGGCCAGCAGATGTTGAGCGCAAACCCTCGACTGAAAAAGACAAGCTGGTAAGTGAATGTTGCATAATGGAGCAAAAGATCATGCAGTATTGGGAGTATCTTTGTAACACTGATGGATAATATTGTGTCTATAGGGTGAGGGTGATGAGGGCACTGAGAAGGATGCAGCCGCTTCTGCAGGAGGAAGTGAAGGAGAGGAGAAGACTGAAAAAGAAGCACCTGCTGAACCAATCCCAGAACCCAAGAAGGTGAGTTAGCCAAGTTCTGACGCCTTGGGTAGTGGATGTACCATCTCTGTTGAGTCAAACTGTTTTGTAACTTTAATAAATGTTAGTACATCTACTTACATTAATTGCAATCTGGTACTTTGACATTCTCTAGTTAAGCAAGAAGAGAAAGAGGAAGCACAGTGGAGACAGTGAAGATGAAGCCAGTGCATCTGACAGCGAATCCGATTCGGACTCCGACTCGAACTCTCACTGCTCAGAGAAACCCTCAGAAAGAGAGAGAGAACCAGACGAGGGAGAGGATAAGGAGGAAGAGGAAGAAGAGGAGGGGGAAGGTCAGTGTCTTTTGACAATGAATCATCCGTGTCAAAGTGTCATGGTTGTGACAGCTGTGTTTCTGGTCTTTTAAAGCCGCTGATGTGAAGGAGCGAACGGAGGAGCAGAAGGAAAGGGAGAAGGAAAAGCAGAAGAAACCAAAGGACGATCAGCCTCCACGACCTCGACCTCTTCACAGGACATGCTCTCTCTTCATGAGGAGCATCGCTCCAACCATATCTAAAGCAGAGATCGTCGCTGTAAGTGTGCAATCAAAGCAATGCTTTTGCTGTTATTGTCCATGAAGTGTTATCTAAATGCTGCTACTTATTTAGATTTATTATTTTTTTTGCAGCTGTGTCGACGTTATCCAGGATTTATGCGTGTTTGTTTGTCAGAACCGCAGCCAGAGCGTAGGTGAGTTGAAATTAGATTCACTTCAGTTTCAACACTTTAGAGTGGGTGGTATAGCTGAAATTCTTATTTTTAGCTTATTGAGAATATTTGGGGTCACCGTCGAGCCTTAACCCTTTGGTGCTCTTATAATTTTTTACTTTATTTTACTTCATCGGAATGGTACAAAATTTCGTAAAGGTTTAGGAACTTGCTATGTGAACACACAATTCATGAGTTAAGTGGTCCTGAAAAAAATAGTACTTGTACTCCTCACTGTCAAAATTGACCGCATTAGAAATGAATGGGAAACAAATGTCATCTAGTGGAAATGTTGGGTACTACGCCCAAACTAAATTGTACTGAAAGCTAATTTTTGGAGATATCAACCTTAAATTTGGAACACTACTTGTTTAGATTTATGGCTTGGATTTTTCTTGCAGTTTTAGAGTAAAACATGTTTTGGAAAATATGTATCTCATATAAAATTTGAAAATTTTATTTTTTATCAATTTTTTTTATAACCGTAAACTTCTACCATTTTTTTTTCATTTCACTTTGACTTTTTTTCACTTAAGCAATAATCTGCCAAGTGTCTTTAAAAAGAGACCAAAATTAAGTCTGTGCTCCAAAGCACTCGAGATTTACGGTTTAAGTTGGAAATTGAAATTTCAGGTCAAAGCTCAAAGTATTTGAAAGGATAAATTTCTGCATAAACATTCTTAAAATCTCCTACAAAATATTAAATTAAAAAAAAAAAACATTGAACCCAAATATAGTACATTAATTTCATTGCAATAAAAAATGCGGTAATTTTTGACTGCCACATTAGCAGCGCCAGAGAGATGTCATACATTCAGTTTTCTGTATCATGTGCAGGTCTTAAAAAAAGGTATAAAAGTTTGAAATTGATGATACAATTAAACATGAAAATTAATAAATGTTAGGTTATGTAATGTTATCTGTATTTGCGCCAATATAAAATGTTTCGCTAAATCATTTCAATATATTAAAAGAGATATTGGGGACTCTCTAAAAAGCTACATTTTCCATCTCTGTGGCTCAGGTTTTTCAGGCGTTGTTGGGTGACCTTCGACAGAGGTGTGAACATCAAAGAGATCTGCTGGAACCTGCAGAACATCCGGGTGAGTTCTAGAATCACTGGCTTGAGGAACCACAATGTGTAGCAAACGTCTCGCTCATTGTCTTCTCCTGTTCCTCTCTGAGCAGCTGCGGGACTGTGAGCTGGCTCCTGGGGTCAATCGAGATCTGGCACGTCGTGTGCGGAACGTAAACGGAATCACTCAGCACAAGCAGGTTCTGCGTAATGACATCAAGCTGGCTGCTAAACTGATCCATGCACTGGATGACCGGGAGAGGGTATGGAGCCACAAACCCAGAGAAGAGACACACACTCTGGAGGTATTCTCGCTGCACAGCCTCAGACCGATACAGTTTGAAATGGTTTTGACTGTGAGATTTGATCTATTATTGATTGTTTTTCAATTTTTCGGATTTTTCTTATTTCCTGAAGCTCCCTGCTCAGAACCCCATTTTGAAGAACATCACCGATTACCTGATTGAGGAAGTGAGTGCAGAGGAGGAAGAGCTTCTGGGAAGTGCAGGAGGAGCCGACTCTGAGGAGGGATCCAAAGAGGGAAACCCCACTGAGATAACTGTGGAGAGAGATGAAAAACTTGTCAAGGTCAGAAAAATTGTCGTTATCGTTTGACCCCAAAATCAGGAGATGTAATACACTACACTGCCCTACAACATATTTGTGGAATGAAATCCAGTTCTTCTTTCTAATTAATTTTGGAGTGCTGAATCCAACGAAAGTACCCTGTTTTCTTTAAGCACGTCTCACACTTACAAAATAATACATTTTGTAGCATTTTTGTCTACAAAAAGGTATTTTTGTGACCCTGGACCACAAAACCAGTCATAAGGGTTAGCTTTTTAAAATTGAGATTTATACATCATCTGAAAGCTGAATAAATAAGCTTTCCATTGGTGTGTATTGTTTGTTGTGAGATACAACTATTTGAAAATCTGGAATCTGAGGGTGCAAAAAAATGTAAATATTGAGAAAATCATCTTTAAAGTTATCCAAATGAAGTTCTTAGCAATGCATATTACTAATCAAAAATTAAGTTTTGATATATTTACAGTAGGAAATGTACAAAATATCTTCATGGAACATGATCTTTACTTAATATCCTAATGATTTTTGGCATAAAAGAAAAATCAATAATTTTGACCCATGCAGTTTATTTTTGGCTATTGCTACAAATATACCCCAGCGACTTAAGACTGCTTTTGTGGTCCGGGGTCACATATTTTCCCTTAATGAGCAAAACTGCCACGAAGACATGATTCTGAAGACATTCCTAATCCTGATTTCCACTTTTGCATGTGTTTGTCCCCTCCCAGGTGTTGGATCGTCTTCTGTTCTATCTGCGTATCATACACTCTATTGATTATTATAACACTTGCGAGTACCCGAGCGAGGACGAGATGCCAAACCGCTGCGGCATTATCCATGTGCGAGGGCCCATTCCCCCCAACCGCATTACTCACAGAGAGGGTAAGTGCTGCCTTTACTGCCAACAACCGACTGTGCTTCGTTTCTTGAAGTGTGATTTAATTTATTGTTATAATTCTTTCTTGTATTCCAGTTTAATGTAGAGTTGATTATATAAGAAAGCCATTAGTTGGTTGACATCCTAAAGGGTGTAAATGCTGTGTCTGAATATTTCTGTCTAAAAGGTCAGCTTCTGGCTCAACCGAGCGCCAACATTTTAGGATGAGATTAAATGTTAGTTTGCTGCAACTGCTAAACTGCAAAGGAATTACACTTCACCGTTAAATAATCCCATGTAACAGAGAAATGATCTGATTTTGTTGACTGTTGATCCTCTTGTAGTGGCTGACTGGCAGAAGACATTTGAAGAGAAGCTGGGACACTTGTTCAGTGTGAAGGAATCCCTGTCTGAAGATGAGGCAGCAAAGATGGGCCGCAAAGATCCAGAACAGGAAGTGGAAAAGTTTGTGCTGGCCAACACACAGGAACTGGGCAAAGACAAGTGGCTTTGTCCTCTAAGTGGCAAAAAGTTTAAGGTGTGTGAAATAGCATGCTGCTTTGTTCATCTGGTAGCTTTAGGCCCTGCAGGTTACAAAGATTATTGGAGTACAGGAAAATACTATTTCGGTCAATTTACGTTTTTTTCTCTTTTTTTTTGCAATTTTATTTGACGTTTCTTTGTAATTATTTTTTAAATTTACTAGCCATTTTTGAGTGAAAATTTTAAATCATAGTTTTTTGTTGTTGTTGTTTAAATCAGTTTTTTCCAGTGTAGGGAGGTTGTTCATTTTTGACAAAATCAATAAAAATATCAATCTGTCTCTAGGGCCCAGAGTTTGTGAGGAAGCACATTCTAAACAAACATGGTGACAAGATTGAGGAAGTAAAAAAAGAGGTCGTCTTTTTCAACAACTTCCTGATGGATGCAAAAAGACCCTCCATCCCAGAGATGAAACCTCCACCTCCTCCAGGCCCAGGACAGGGTAAAAAGCACATATCAATCTTGTTGATTTTGTATCGGAAGAAAAATCACGTTATCGGAAGTTGTGAAACATCTCGCAAGCATTTCTAATTTTTCTTTCTCTCATTAGGAGTGCTTTCACCGGGAGGTCTTCCATTCCCACCTCAGGGTCCTCAAGGTCTCATGGGTTTCGGCCAGCCCAGACCTCCAGTGATGGGTTATGGAGGTGTGTGTTTGTTCAAGTAGTAGAGTCGGAGTGAAAATTGTTGTTAACACGGGCTTGAAGCTTTGTCATGATTGAGTTTTTCAACAAGGGTGCAACCAGTGTTGGGTGTAATTAGTTACTGTAATTTAATTACTTTTCCCTTGAAAAAGTAAAGTAAGGGATTACTCTTATTTTTCAGTAATTTAATTAGTTACTACTTATGTAATTGAACTTAATACTGTATAGACTGTAGAACAATTATATACAATACAATAGTGGATTTAACATCTAAATTTAAAGTCTAACCTTAAAATGCATGCTTTTATGTACCCATCTCACTTTAAATACTTTAGAATCAATAAGAATATTGGTAACACTTTAGTGTCCAATTCTCACTATTAACTAGTTGGTAATTAGCATGAATATTACTAGATATTGGCTTTTTATTATTACTTAAAAAAACACACATTAATGTCTTATTCTGCAATACCGCATTCAAAATCCTTAATCCTACCCAATACTTAAACTTAACAACTACTTTGCTAAGTATTAATGAGCAGTAATTAGGAGTATATTGAGGCAAAAGTCTTAGTTAATAGTGAGGTTTATACTCTAAAGTATGACCAGAATAATTTATGTAGTTACTTGAAAGAATTAAAAGAACTGTGTCATGTCTATCCTTGTATCATTAACCTGTCGAGGTTGATTTAGGATTTGGTAAGTAATTCGTAATAAGTCATTAAATACTTTTTGGAGAGAGTAATTTGTACAGTAATCTAATTACACTGTTGAAGATGTAATTAATAACTTTTTTTTTTTTAGAGTAACTTACCCAACACTGGGTGCAGCCAATAATCATTGATATATCTAGCCGTTTCCTTTTTAAAAAAAAAAAAAAAGGTCTAAGCTTTGAAGCTTGCTCAAGTTCTCTACAGAATTGACCAAATAGCTGGGTTCCCACGGTCATGCCAAATTTCAGATATTTACACATTCTAGTTAAAGTTAGTAAAGGTTTTTTTTTTTCTTTTTTTATTTGCATTGAATTTATGCAATGATAAACAATCAAAGCATTGTGGTGCATCTGCAAAACATATTTGTGAGGTATACTGAGGTGTTTCTTTGACACTTTAACAGGTGGTCCTCCTTACCCACCCAACCAGTATGGTGGAGGCGGCAGGGGCAACTACGACAACTTCCGTGGACAAGGCGGTTACCCTGGAAAGCCTAGAAACAACCGGTGAGTCTGTTGTATTTCAGTTCTATTTTAATTGTAGTTAGGGAACAGGCGTGATATTGTTTTAGAAGCTCTTGGGATGATAATGGACAAAATCTAATAAAATGTTGCTATGTCTTTTCCAGAATGATGCGTGGGGATCCTCGCAATATCATTGAATACCGTGACTTAGATGCTCCAGATGATGTGGACTTCTTTTAGAGCTCCAGTTTTATTCTCTCAGTTTTAATCTTTTTTTTTTTTACCGTTGTCTCAGCATTTTCTTTTTTTTTGCATTCATTCCAGAAGCTGCCCCTTACCGTCTTCTCTGGTACACTCATATGTATTACAGTAGTGCTCCACCTGAAGTGAACGCATGTCCTTTATGTTGAACGTCATTGCATACTCTGTGTTATAGATATTGAGCTTGTGCTTGTGGCCTTTTTTCTTCCAATAAAACTTTGATTTGGATCCTTTGTGTGCTGTATTGGTTTTTAAATAATTAAAATTGATTTACATTTTTTTAAATTTAATTACAGTGATTTATATCTCATTTAAAATAACAACAACAAAATCATGTTTACAAAGCACTTGCAATGGAAGTACACTGTTAGCATTGCACAGGGGCAAAAAAAAAATCCTTCACTAGGTGGATGAATTCCTGCGAGTGGAGTTTGTTCTGTGTAAATGGTTTCTTTCTGGTACACCCATTAGTTTCGTGCATTATGAAAGGTTCTCCAGTGTTTCATGGTTGAGACAAAGTACTAAAGAATAATTTTTAGTATATTAAGTACAAAATTAGTGCACGAAAATAGAGTACTTAAAGTACATTATGGACCTGGGAAACCCCAAAAATGCAATAAACAGTATCAACAGAAGTTTATATTAAGACATTATTTAGTGAATTAGTTTCTATTTTTAAATTTTTCATTATATAGTGAACTTGTTCTTATTTTCAGATATTTTAGTTTTATTAATTTTTTTGTTTTTGATCATTTATTTATATTGGTTTTTTTATGTTAACAATTTTATTTATTTTCAGTTTTACCCCAATCATGCTAATACCTCCAAAAAAAGCAGTAAACAGCATCAACAGAAGCTTGCCTGTTGTGCACATTCCCGTCCCACGCCTCCCAGCTAATCATTACAGCTCTTGAACAATCGTTACACCACTTACTCTGGTAATCTCAGATTGCTTTCACACAACTGAATCTCTCTGAAGAAGCATGGCGGTGGAAGAGGAAGCCGGCAGACCCACATGGAGCAGGCAGATTGAGTTCACTCTGGCTGGGATCGGCTGCGCTGTGGGTCTGGGGAACATCTGGAGGTTCCCGTACCTGTGCTACAGGAGCGGTGGAGGTAAGACACAGACCAGTTAACTAATGTTCCTCACCACTTACCGAAAGTACCATGTTTTTTCTCCAAACATCTTAAACTAGTTTGCTGGTTTTGGTTAGTGACCAGCCAACTAGTGCCCAAAACCCCTCTAAGACCAGCACAACTGACAGTACAACCGGCTTTGAATCTGGTTCGAAGATGTTTTTTCTGCTATGATTAATGTACCAGATTATGACAACTTTTATTGGACCTTTGGTGTGAAAACTGGCATTATGAAGCCATGCATATGAAAGTCCTAACAATGACAGAGTTTGTTATCTTCTGTTGTTATTTAACAATTTCAGCTTTATCTTTCAGGCTGTAAAAGAAAGATCAAATGTCAACACATGAAAATGAGAGCGTGCCAGTAGATGAATGTGTTTATCTGTAACTGTAACGGTGTGTAAGATCAACCGTGACTCTGCAATCCATCTCAGATCACGTATTGCTATAATGTTTACACGTAACTAATGTGTTATTCAAATCAAACAAGGCAGAGTAGATCAAGAGATGGTGACTGATTCAGAATTTAAAAATATATTTTCACATTTACATTTTTATATTGACAATAAACATTTATATATTAATAGTTAGAATGTAACTATATATTCAGATTTGAATCTATGTATTTAAATCACAATTTACATTTATATATTGAGAATTATAACTATATATTCAGATATATTGTTTGTTTTTAAACTTATAATTATATATTTTTATTTACATTTATATATTCAGACTTATAACTATATATTCTGATTTACATTTATATATTCAGACTTATAACTATATATTCTGATTTACATTTATATATTCAGACTTATAACTATATATTCTGATTTACATTTATATATTCAGACTTATAACTATATATTCTAATAGGGGCACTTTAAATTTATGTAATCTAAGTTTGAACATATATTCATGATTTAGATTTAAATATTTAGAATTTTGACGTATATTTACATTTCATATTATTATTTCTTGTTTGTTCTATATATGTGTGTGTGTGTGTGTGTGTGTGGAATGTGCAGTAAATCATATATCAAGAGAATTGGAATGAACATATTTATTTTTCAAACTGGATGCAAGGATGGTATGCATCTCTCAGTTAACTGTTGACGTGTTTATTGACGTCGTCAGGTGCGTTCCTGGTGCCTTACCTGCTGATGCTGGTGCTGCTGGGGATCCCGCTGCTGCACATGGAGCTGACGCTGGGCCAGTATCTGAGGAGGGGCCCCGTCCTGGCCCTGACCAAAGCCTGTCCCCTGCTGAAAGGTTACAGTTCATAAATACACACATAATCATGGCATGAGATTAATTTCAAGTTTAATGCTGTATACAGACTTTCAGATCCATATAGACAAAATAGCATTGTCGCTGATAATGATAAGATGATATGAAAGTATATTACTGACTCAAGGTCTGGTTAAAGGTCAGTAACCCGTAATAAATCTATCCAGGTGTCGGCATGGCAACGGTGGCCATCTCTTTCATCATGTGCACATACTATAATGTCATTATCACATGGGCGCTGTACTACATGTTCAGCTCTTTTCGGAGCGAGCTGCTCTGGGATAACTGCAACAACACATGGAACACGGCCAACTGCACCGACCGTGTGACCAACAGCTCCTCGTCCTCCACCACCAGCCAGCAGTTCTTCAAGTGTGTTCATACGCTCTTCTTGTTAAAGCTACACTATGCAACTTTTTTTTGTTCAAACATGATTAAATGATGAGCGAGTACATCATGCCAGTTAACAAAAATATGATCCTAGAACCTTTTTTTTTTATGTTCTCTGAATGTTTCAAATATGTGTGTTTTGAATGTTACATTTTTTTTTATCGGTTATGTGAACGTTAGAGAACATTTTAATGGAACATTCCATTCGTACACATTTTGGGAACGTCACTTCTGAATATTCTCTGAACATTCTGAATCTTGTAACTTGTATTAATGTTTTCTTTAAAAAGTTAGAAGAACGTCCAACTAAAATATTCAGAAAAAGATTCCATTAAGGATAAATGAAGCGCACGTAATAAAACACGAATCAACATAGTTAGCAAATTGGTCTATTTTCACAAAACTGTGTTGCCAATCTCCAAACCAGTTACTCCTTGGCCTATTTGCCTGTAAACAGCCTCGCCAAATTATAGGCTAACATTTTCAACCATTTTACCATATCTGATACGAATAGCAATCGATAGGTCTAAAGTCAGCCAAACGTTTCTAACGTTATTTTAAAGCAATTGTTTTAGTCAAAACAACAGTAATATACAGTATATGTTACCTGATCATAAGATATTTTCGGATATTCATCTTATTTTTTTTGAGAATTTCGATGTCGCTCAATCCATCTGATACATCCGCGCAGAATAGTGGAGCCAAAGCACAACTGACCAAAACAATGTTCCTCCACAAGTAACTATTTTTTTCGCTTCAACCGCTACATAGTGTTAAATAGTGTAGCTTTAAGTTATTGATTTGTTAGTAAAGTAGTGAAGTTTGTGGTATTGATTGCAGTGGATGTGTTAGTTATAAGGTGCTGGAGAGGACCAGTGGTGTGGAGGAGACAGGCACCTTGAGGTGGGAGCTCTTCCTCCTGCTGCTGCTGGCCTGGATCCTTGTCTACCTCTGCATCTTTAAAGGAGTCAAGTCCACTGGGAAGGTAAGACGAGAACAGCTGGAGAATGCATACATTCATCATTATGCTGGTCAGAGTCTGAATGCAGTATCATGCCGGTTTCTGCAGATGCATTGATGCAATTCATGAATCTTTTTTTTTTTAATTGAAAGTTGGGCTGCACTGTGTAAGAAAAAAAAAAAAAATATATATATATATATATATATTGTAAATAAATAAAAGATTAGAAAAGGTTAGAGAAGTATATTTATTTTTTGGTATGCTTATATTTATTTTAGTGTGAAAAAAATGGTTACACTTTATGTTAAGGTGTCCTTGTTACTGTGTAATTATACATTTAAATACTGAGTAATATTAATTAACCACTTATACTTACTATATGGTTAGGATTAGGGTTTGGCTTAGGGTTACTTGCATGTAATTATGCATAATTTATTGTTATTATAGTAGTAAGTACATGTAACGTGTAACAAGGATACCTTAAAATAAAGTTTTACCAAAAAAATTAAATACAAACTAAGTGATAAACAAATCAGAAAGAAAAAAACAAAACAACAAGAAAGCAGTTCATGTATCAGTGTGTAGCAAAAATATTTAGTAATTTATGCAAAATAATGTATTTTTTTATTCTTTATTTTGGTTTGAAACATCACCCGGTCATGTTTTTTTTTTTTTTTAGATTTACCCATTTATGTGTTAAAATAAAGCAATAAGCCCCAAGAAGCCGTGGTTTTCAGTGATTTTATAACAGCTAAGGGGCATTGTTAGGCACGATGTGAAGAGTCAAAAATCAGATTTTGGAGTTTGACAATGAACACATTGCAACCATGCTTGGGACGGCCCACATAACCGAGCCAAAATGCTTTACATGTCTTGAATAGGGATGTAACGATTCACTCAACTCACGATTCGATTCACGATTTTTTTTTAACAAATTGAGATTTAAGACAAATTATAAATTAAATGTGTCCTTTTATTATTACTTGGACAAAATACTGTACTTTTCTTTGTGAAATTAAAATTTAACACTATAATAATATATTAATATAGCATATAGCAATATAGGTTTTGATTGCTTCTATTGTCCTCATTTGTAAGTCGCTTTGGATAAAAGCGTTTGCTAAATAACAAAATTTAAATATAATGTAAATGTAAATAACAAAACTAAATTGAAATGTTAAAACAAGCCCCAAATCAAATAAATAAGTAACACAAATAAAATAAATCTCTTCATATAAACAAACTAAGGCGTTGTCTGAGCTCTTTCCATGTAAAATTAGAGGCAACCACTGCATTTTAATCACGATCCAAACAAAGATGCTGCATACATGCATCACGAGCAGTTTTTAATCTAAATTAGATTGCATAATTTCGAAATTTGAAGCAAAAACAGAATGGTTAAATATCTGCATGAAACCGAAACAGCAGACGAGCTGAACGAGTCGCA